TTTCTATAATTTTCAGTTCATTGCAGTAGCTGTCTCTTATACACATCTAGATGTGTATAAGAGACAGACGTTTAGATTGCATAAAATCTCGGATAATGTTATTAATTAAGTTTTGTGGATATTTTAACCTTAGAAACATTAATTCAATTTCCTTAGCCTCTTTCTCAAAAATTTCGTTTGTTGAAGATAATTTAAATGCTCTATCCAACATAGTAAGAACAAGGTTTCTTTTATACTTATTATCGACATGACTTTCATAATGCAAGAGTAGTCCTTTGTTTGTAGGTTTCTTGTAGACTCTAGTTTCCAAAGATGATGAATTTTTATAAATAACCATTCCTAAAAAATTGATTGAGTTGTTGGAGGCGATTTCCATAGTAAAGTTGATCGAATGGTGTGATTCGTTCAGGATGTTTAAAAAATGATGTGCAGAATCGTGGGTTGGCATGAACACAATGGTGTCGTCAACATAACGTCGATAAAATGCTGGCATTTTGTTAGCATATTGAAGGGTGTCCTCAATGTTACACATAAATACGTTGGCCATTAATGGTCCAAGCGGAGAACCCATGGCTACACCATCCACTTGTTCATACAAGTTACCATCATATTGGAAAAGTTGGTTTTTTGTGGCAATTGTAAGAAGGTCTATAAGACCTTGTTTATCAATAGACAGACCATATTGCTCATTGAACCAGTTATTTTCAAAAGCCTTTTCAGCAATGATGTGAATAGTGTCATCAAGAGGGACATTCGTAAACAGTGAGACGACATCGTAGGAAACTAGCAAGTCATCAGTACCTATAGTAGTATATTACAATATATATATACAATCAATTTTTTAGTTTACACAAACACTATATTTTTAATAATCGTCCAGTACAATATTTTATCAACATAGATAAAATCACTTACAATATTAAAGCAAAACTTTTACATAGTGTTACCAATGAGGAAATATATATTCCTCCATAGTATTACTAAACATATCCATACGGTACAGTTTTAAACTCATCAATAATTATTCACTTATCATAGGCCAATACTATTCTATAATCTTTAGTCTAATTTAGTTTAATTTAAAATTTTCTTGATTCTGGCTTACGGTTATCCGATTAGACTTAGATGTTGTAATTTTCTCTAGGCCTTTAACCATATTAGTAACAGTTTCGAAATCATATATACCTTCTATGATTCTTATGATTTTTAACGAATTGCTTGTAAGTGTTATACACTGTATTTGAATTTAATTTTTGGTTTTAACTTTATTCAGTATATTTTATCAAACTTAAATGTGTTCTGCAGTTTAGATTAATCATCATATTTGGAAATAAGTCTTTTCAAAATTGTATTAATAATTATACCATTTCTAAATATCAGAGAAACATTTTTTTTTTTCAAGTTTTGTATTATAGTATATTTTACGTTTAGTCACACTGTGTCTTACTTACTTGCGTTTGACAACTGCTTAAACCGTTTATTTCACATTTTTGGAGGAAATAGTGTGATATTTATTAATTAAGTAATTAGAATTTAAGTACAAGTTAATATTTTACAGTTTTACAATGTCCTATTTTCGCATTTTAAATGAATTCATTCTTTAAAAGTGTTTACACGTGTTTTTTTTTTTTTCGTTTTTTTTTAACTTATTCTCTTATTTAAATATATTACATAGACCTACCTGAATCTATCATTTCTAAATGTTTTTCATTTCTGATTTTTTACGGCGAGGCTGTATATTTATATAATGGGTATAAATCGTATATTTATATCCTCCTTTAATTATTTTGCTTTATTTATTTTATTTTAATTGTTAATTCATATTATATCACTGTGTTTTGTACTTTAGAAATTTTACATTTTATTTAAATTATTTCGGGAGTACTGTAACTGTTTCGTAGTTCTTTTTTTGCGTTTCATATATTTTAAATTTCTTTAAATACTTTTACTCTTGTCTTACAGTACTTTTTCTATTTTCTGTGTTAAGTACTTCTAACTTTATCATTTTTTTTTTCGTCTCTGAATTTTTAACAGGTGAACTAATTCAAAAATTCTTGTTTAATATAATTGTTATTATTTTTATTCTTAGAGTGATTTTGAATTCATGTTTTACATTAAAATTTGACTAGGGTTTTGTTCATTGAATTTTAATTTTACATGGCTATCATTTATGAAAGCACATAACTTGTGTTCCATCTATTTTCTATTGAAGTAATGTACGTAATTTTATTTATGTTATAAGTACGTATTTATAAGTTAATTAGATAAAGAAAAATTAATTTTTATGCCGATAGCATTTTGAATAATATTAGTATGTTTCTTCAAAGTATTTTTTAACCTTTAGTTATTTTTTCTAATTATTATGTTATTTTTGTTTTATTCCTTCAGTTTTGATAGTATCCGAGGATATTATAGACCATACTATATATTTAAAAATGTAATATTAGGTATTAGGAATATATTTCATTTTTGTTTGCAGTACAGTAAGTCGCTTTTGCACTCATCATAATCACCATCATTGTCATCTTTGACAACATCATCACCATCGCTATGGATGTCAATAATGTATAATCATAACAAGGCAATTAAACAAAAGGACGCACATCTCCGCTCGCAAACATAGCACGTGCGTAGAGTCCTTTCATCTACTGTGACATTGACATAGAGATATAACGGCATAGACAATTCGATAATAGTTGCGAGTACAGCCGTTAATTATAATTCAATGCGTGCCATACGTTTCATATTAGTTACTATTTTATCAATTTTGGGTACTTCTCAATGTGTGTTGCATCGGATTTTTTTTGACCACCAGCTTGTCAAGTGCTTCTATAAACTGCAATTTAATTCGTGAAAATTGACCAACAAAATGAAAAGTTAGCAATTCAAAACTTATGATTTTTATGAAATTTAATGTTCTTGACAATGTTGGACTAAGGTGTACAATTAAAACGATAATGAAAATTTATTTATTTTTTTAAGAAGTGAGGCTTATGAACCACCGGACACCACCTCATCGGTAAAATTATTGCTACAATAACGAATATAATTTCAGTCTAATGTTAATGCAACGCTTAATTAGGCCTTTGTAACCATCGCACGAAGCGCGATATAATGGCTACTGGTAACGGGTAGATAATTTGTCACACGCTGATGGTTAATTATGGTTTGGTTGCTATGGTTTCTGCGAAGATCAGCGTGAAGGGTCGTGCAGAATGTCAATGCCAGAGTTATAATTATGCTTTGATGTCCCGAGATGTGCGTCTTTTTGTTGAATTGCCTTGACCATTAGTTACTATCAACAAACTTTGTAGCATAAATCACCGCCACCATCATCCTCACTTTGATATGATTACTATCATTTCTATCACCATTACCATAGTCACTAACATAAACACCCATCACAGTCTTCGCCATCATCGCTAACAACAGCATCCTCATCATTACCACTCCATACTTTGCATAATCCTTATAATTTAGTTTATCATCTTCTTGAACACCATCATCATCAGCAGCATCATCATTCTGATCACCAACGTCACCATGGTCGTCTTCACCATTGTATCCATTTTAAATTCGGCTTCTACCCCCTCTGAAACTACCAGGATTTTCGGGTCGTAGTATATACAGTATATAACTTATTATCAGTTTTCTTTTTTGTTGTTTTTTATTCCTCCACTAGCATGCAACATACAATATAAATTCAAATAATAAGAGAGAGTTATACAATTTTGTTTCAACAATAAGCAGGCATAGCTTTTCATTTATTTTGTTTCTAACAAACTAATAATATACAGATCATTATAGAATTTACATTAATTTACAAATTTATGTATTAAGTGTTCGCTTAGCAAAAAAAAAAAAATAATAATAATTGCTTCATTATCTCGCTTTATTTTGGTCGAATAATGACATAACACTTCCTACTGTGAGAAAAAAAGTGGTTTGATCTGATCACTATTTTAGATGATCAATCCAGTATTCCTGATTACATGGTCAGTATCTAGTACTACAAGAACATTGGAATATGGGACCGTGTTAGTTTTCGCGTTGTCATTTTTCTTCTAAAGCTGAACTGCATTTATCGGGTTAACTTCAATTGTCTTGTCTACAGGAAGTTTCCCGTTGTTGTTTTCACCTGACACTGTACCGAATTTATTTTCATCGTTAAAAAATTGTCAGATCAATTACGAATTCTTCGTAATCTTTAGTTAAATCAATCATTATTTTGAATCAAGCAATACGTCTCTACATAATTTATAAAGATGTTCATTGTGCAATTTATACATCTTTTCGCAATATTTGAAAAACTTATTGTTCATATTCTCTATATATTTTATGTCATTGCCTAATTTACGTGCCACAAACGCTGAATTTATTTCTCGTGCAATTCGTTCAGATTCCATGCTCATGTTTCTTACTTCTTCATTTTCAAAATTCAGACTGCTTCCTTGTTCTTCAAAGTTATTGCCAAACAAATCCATCTTGATACTGTAGTTTAAAACTAATTCGTACTTTAGAGAATTGTAACAACGTACAGGTTTTTTTTTTTTAAATGATGTTTCAACCTATGTTTTCACCAGAATATAAGCACTAAATTGTATAGAAGGATTAAGTGACGTTGGTAGCGTCTCTTCCTTATATTTTGTTTTATTTCATTTATTTTCTATGTGTTATATAATTTAAGTGAATGAACTTGAATATATAACGTCATAAGCCTATTCACATTAATGCGGGAAATTCGAACCAAAAAGCCACCACATTTTAAGTCACTGAAATCTCTCATCCAATAGAAATTCATGCTTGTCAAAATGTATCCCTACGTCACAAACAATTAATCCTATTAAAGACACCGCTAATCCTATTGTTTATTCCAATTACATTCAAATTGTTTGACTTAATTCCTTTTAGCACCTTTAATGAATGCCTTATTGTTTTCAATTTCGAAGATATTCCAACACACCTGGCACTGCATCATTTCTTTAACCTATTATTATTAAAATTATTTTAATTAAGTATACTAGTCTTTTGTTATGTATTGTAAAGGATTAAATGACGTCAGTAGCGTCCCTCTTATCCATTGTTCTAAAATAAAAGAGATTAAATGATGTCATTAGCGTCCCTTACCTACCTTTTGTTTTCAATTTCAAAAGATAATCCAAAACACCTGCATCATGACGTAAACAATTAAGTATACTAGTCTTTTGTTCTTTATTGAATAGGATTAAATGACGTCATAGCGTCTCCTTCCCTGAGCGCCCTCTAGCGGGGCTAGACCGTCATACCTTACTACTGAGGGGAAAACCTTGAATTTTGAAGAACTTAAATTAAAGTCGCTAAAAGATACTTCAAAAGTCGGGAAACCTGATTGCCCACCATTTAAAAATGAACATTTTCCCAGGAAGAACCTCCCTTTTCTCTTTGGGTTGATTGATTCATTATATTAATTTTCAAAGGGGGAAACCTTAAATTTTGAAGAACTTAGAAGTAAGTAAAAGACACCTCAGAAGTCGGGAAAACTCATTTCCCGCCTTCTAGGAATCAAAATTTTTCCGGACCCCCCTTTCTTTTTGGGATTCATCGAATTATGGAAAATTCGTATGCAACTACTCATTTTTTTTAATTATTTTTATGTATGTATACACACATAAGGCCTATTTACTGTAATAGCAATAGGAAAAAATTACCTGACCGTTTTCAAGAGGGGAAAACCTTGAATTTTGAAGAACTTAAAAGTAATTAAGACACCTCAGAAGTAGGAAAAGCTCATTTCCCGCCATCTAGGATTCAAAATTTTCCCGGGGCAGAATTCCCGGACCCCCTTTTCTTTGGAGCTTATCGATGCATTGAAAAAGAATACGTATGCAACTAACTAATGACTAATGTATGTATACAAACCATAACAGGCCTATTTACTGTAATAACAATACTGTAATGAGAAAATTTACCTTACCGTTTTCAAGAGAGGGGAAAACCTTGAATTTTGAAGAACTTAAAAGTAATTAAGAGACACACCTCAGAAATCGGGAAAACTAATTTTTCGCCTTCTAGGAATCAAAATTGTCCCGTGGAGAACCCCTGGACCCCCCTTTCTTTGTGGGATTCATCGATTCATTGAAAAAAAAAATACGTATGCAACTATTCATTTTTTTAAATGTAGGCCTATGTATACACACATAACAGGCCTTTTTACTGTAATGAGAAAGTTTACCTTACCGTTTTCAAGAGGGGGGAAACCTTGAATTTTGAAGAACTTAAAAGTAATTAAAAGACACCTCAGAAGTCGGGAAAACTCATTTCCCGCCTTCTAGGAATCAAAATTTTCTCGGGGAAGAACCCCCGGACCCCCTTTCTTTTTGGGATTCATCGATTCACTGAAAAAAGAATACGTATGCAAATATTCATTTTTTTAAATGTATGTATACACACATAAGGCCTATTTACTGTAATAACAATAGGAAAAAAATTACCTGACCGTTTTCAAGAGGGGAAAACCTTGAATTTTGAAGAACTTAAAAGTAATTAAGACACCTCAGAAGTGGGAAAAGCTCATTTCCCGCCATCTAGGATTCAAAATTTTCCCGGGGCAGAATTCCCGGACCCCCTTTTCTTTGGAGCTTATCGATTCATTGAAAAAGAATACGTATGCAACTAACTAATGACTAATGTATGTATACAAAACATAACAGGCCTATTTACTGTAATAACAATACTGTAATGAGAAAGTTTACCTTACCGTTTTCAAGAGGGGGAAAACCTTAAATTTTGAATAACAAAGTCATTAGACACCTAGCTCAAAAGTCGAGAAAGGTCATTTCCCGCCATCTAGAAATCAAAATTTCCCCGGGGGGGGGGGAGGAATGTTGACCCCACCACCTAGATTTGATTCCAGATCTGCATGATTCATATTCCCATTCATCTTATAAGTGGGGCCCCCCACTTTGAAAAACGTTCCGCCGGCCCTGTATTAATTATGTTTATATACAATTGTATCGACACGTTAAAAAAAAAAAAAAATGTACTAGCAGATTTTATTCAAAATGTTACAACAATAAGTACCGAAGTGTTCAACAATGCTCCCACCTCTCTTTCAAGCTCAAGTTTTTAATCTTATATCGTAAGGCACCATTTACAAGCCCTACCACATATGCACGTAGGTACCTGTGAATTAGAGGGAGGTCACTGGTCGTTGCTAAATATTCGAAATATTCGCCTGGATAGGGCGCGGCTCCGTACCGTTAAATAAGCGTGATGATCGTATATATGCACTGAAATGTCCGTTTCATGAACAGTAGACCGTGTAAGAAATTGTGAGTAACCAGCCGTACGCGAGCATAACAAAAGATGGCTCAGGCTGTAACATTGACTAAATTTCAATGTAGCCAACTCTTGGGTTACGATCTCTTTTTGGGGGATATATTATTAATGCTGGGGCAGATGCAGGTGCGCAGACTGTGCGATCACCCCCTAAATTGTATTTGTTGATATGAATTACAGGTAAGATTTTTGAGGTATGAGGGTGCAATTTTCGGGTACATAGAGTTCATATTCTCAGAATTTTCCACCTCAGTCCCAACCACATGCTGGGGCTGAGGTGCTGTGAACTTACTTACTCACTACCGCCAAATACTATATCCGCCCCAGTATTGAAGCATCTAAAGCATAGTCACGATCTTAGCTTGTAATCGGGAAATACGATAATTAATCCGTTTGGTCATTTCTCTCTACTGAAAAAAAAAATACTATTGTAGTAAGTTGTTAAAAATATCCTTTATGATTAAAGAACGAGAGAAGAGAAAAACGAAAATGATATATCCCTAATAACTCTTTGCTTTGCACATTTTTGTTCTCTTTGTGGCAAAAACCACAATATATTAATGTCATTAATCATAATTGAGATTATACATTTATAGTTGATATAGGTCTTAAAAAATTGTATTTCGTATATTTCCACCACCATTACCAATTGTTGTTTTTTTTACACAAATAATACATAGTACTTTTGAAGTGTTGTATAATAATAATAATAACAATAATAATAATAATTTCAATTTCAATTTATTCAAAATAACTCCAACGAGGAGAAGCAAAGAAATACAGTCAAAATAATGCAAGTACGTTAAAAACTAGCTAGAATAATCAGAAATAGGCATAAAATTCGGACGTTACGCTCACAAAAACTTAAACACATCAAAAATACATTTACAGAAAAAATTACGAGCCAAGGAAATAATAATAATAAAAATAATAATAATAATAATAATAATAATAATAATAATACTGACTAGAGACACTATGTTCAATAAAACATGAACCTAGTCAATCGTTTTTGTCACTAGCAATATTTAATAATTTCCCCCCTAATGGTCCCTGTTACTTTTGACCTTTGACCTTAATTGATATTAAAACATACTTACAGTGTACAAAGTATCATGATTAATGAAATTGAGCCCCTATGTGACCCCTAATCTGAGACTGAGGTAAAGGAGGTGTCACTGGTTCTTAATGACTAAATTTGATTGAATTCGGTCCAATCGCTTAACTCCAGGTAGCAAGGAAACATGGGCCCCATATAGGAATGCATGGGCCAAAATGTGGGCCCCCTACAGTTTGTCCTATACGGGAATGAGCTGTCTGTGCACCCTAAATCCTTAAGGGTTCCTTAATGTTTGGCCCAAATGCAAATGTGGGCCCTTTAAAGAATGTATTTGGGTCCCTTAAGGTTTAAATGATGGTTTCATTTGGGACCCATATGGGTTTGTCCAAGTTAATTCATGGGCCCATTTTGGGCTTTATCTAGGGTTTTTAAGGGGTTGGATCAGGGTTGGAATGTAAGGGGACCCTATAAATTGGCCCATATGGGAAAGAGCTGCCTGTGCACCCTAAATCCATATGGGCCCCATAAAATTGTCCCAAATTAATTTATTGGCCCTTTAACGAATATATTTGGGCCCCTTAGGTTTTCATTATGGTTTCATTTTTGACCCATATTGGTTTTACCAAATTAATTCATGGGGTTATTATGGGCTTTATCTGGGTTTTTTGAGGATTGAAATGTAAGAGGCCACTATAAATCGGCCCATACGGGAATTAGCTGCCTGTGAACCCAAAATCCATAAGGGTCCCATAAAGTCCATGGGTCCGTTAAAGGATATAATTGGGCCCCTTAGGTTTACATTATGGTTTTATTTGGGACCCATGTGGGTTTTGTCCAAAATAATTTACGGGCCCATGCTGGGCTATATCTGATTTTTTTTTCAGAGCTGAATAGGAATTGAAATGTAAGTGGGCCACTAAAATTTGTTGGGTACTGTATTGTGTTATTCATAACTGGTCCAAGTTCCAAATGGTCTTTAGCTGGTCGCGGCCCCGTTCCAACTTGTCTTCAGCTGCTGGTCCCAGTTCCATTTGGTCTTCAATTGGTCCCAGTTCTATCTGGTCTTCAATTGGTCCCAGCTCCTTGTTGTAAAATAACAATTTCTTTAATTGGATACTGTAGACCTACAAAATACACTTAGTTTAAGATATACAACCCATAATTTCTTTAATTAAAAAATATCAGCTGTACTTCATGTGGTAGGGACTTGCATACCCCTTCACATATCATTTGGCTTAAGTCTTTACTGTTACACCTACAGTCCTGTTTACATCAGCATTTTTGTCGATAATTATAAGCCTATTATATTAAAGCATCACTAGAATACAATGTAGAACCATATTCAAGAATCGTTTGCGTCAAGCGTGCATATGAACCAACATTCTTTGTGTATTGAAGCAGCATCTCTCCATAACCATGCATTTTCTTCTCCGATGACAAGGTAAATGAAGAATCTTACTAAAATTTAAGATAGTATGAATTCTGCAATTGAACAAATCAAGTTCGAAATATTGAATAACAATGGCTTGTTTGCATTAAATTTTTTCGGAGTTCCACAATTGCTGAAAGATAAAAAAAACGAATTCTTTAAAACAGAGCTGAGCGAAATATGCATTTCATAGTCATTGGCATTTCAAAAATGCATTTCATAGTCCTTGGCATTTCGAAAAAAAGTGATTGAAAGCTCACACTATACAGGTAAAAGAAAATAAGGGGCAGGGGAAAATTGTTTTCTGTCAATTAAAATATGCAAAATGCTATTTTGTTTAAATTGTCTTAATGAAGGCAAAGACAAAGTATGAATTAGTAAACGTACAGCACATAAAACATTCCTACTCAAATTTAAAATCTGTTATTTCCCTTTAAAATCAAAGATATTATAATAAGAGTACCATATGCATAATGTACTGTAGCTAAGATAATAGACTAGCAGTGTTTTATTTTATCAAAAGTGAATTATCAGTTCCAATCCTGTTTCTTATTTTTTTTTTAGTTTTCAAACAGCTTCAAAATCAAATTAAATGTTGTGCAGACAGTACATTACGGTGGTAAAGTGATATCCATTACATACACAATATATTTTATTAGTTATAACCTCCATCATGGTAGTAAGTACAGTACAGTGTGTCTATTTGGAGTGTGATTCATAATTAGAACCTACAGTACAGTAGGCCCCTAAACTTAAATTCTAAACAAAACATTTTATTCACCTTTGAAAGTCAGGCAATTTTCTGTTTCCGCAACTGCCACAATAAGGCAAACATGACTTTACTGAGAGACCTGCTGAGACTGAGTGACCAACATCTTCTGAAAAAAGGCAAAACTTATTAATATTAGTGATTAAGCCTAGGCCTACATACAGTAACTGTCGCCAAAAATAGTACCCTTCAACCCATTGTTTCATTATTTAGCATGGACTTACTGTATAATAAGTGAGAACACGGCCACCGATAGCTAACTATGGGGCAAGGCTACAGTCTGGACTATTCGACAGATTACTCCAATAATTACTCAATGATACAGAATTACCTAAATGATACCACAATTATTTTATATTATTATTATATATTATATCTTATTATTATTATTATTATTATTATTATTATTATTATTATTATTATTATTATTATTAATTAATATTATATCTACTTTTATTTTAATATCATTATCATTGTTATTAATATTAAAATTTTTTATTACTACTATTACTGTTAATCCGCATTATTAAGCTTATTAATTTTTTTTTTTATTAGAATCTTAATATACCTTTATAAAGTGATGTATATTTTTATGAATACAGTAGAACCCCTCCTTTTGGACACCCCTATTCAGAGGTCAACCCTATTAAGTGGACACTTTTCCGTGAAACGAGGGACAGTATATCTTTTAACACTACAGCCAACCCCTAGTTAGGGGACGGGGACAATTTCTAAGTGTGCCAAATGGGCAAACAACCCCTTTTAAGGGTTTTTTTTCATTGTATCACATCTTCAACACTCTAACACACTGCACGTGTTACTTCGTAAACCAATTTTGACCCTTAACAATTGGGATTTCTTTTTCCTTTGTTTTTGTGTATTTCATATAGGATTCTAATCAATATCAAACATATTACAGTACTCTATTTATAATATATCCATCTAATAGAAAGCTCTAATGTGAGTGTTGTTATTTGTAAATAAACCAGTCTTTGTTTACCTTTTCAGTACATTTCACATACACATTGTATAGAATTAAGGATGATTATATGTCATTGTCTTAGTTTATAAAAGTGGGATAAGTTAGCCATGGTACATTCCAGACTTATTTGTCATCTAAGTGAAGAAATTGTAGAAAAATCAAAGCAGCAGTCAAAGAAACTCCCTAGCAAAAACACAGTTCCCATTGAGCTATTGCGATGGAATTTTCTACGGTTTGCTGGAAATAGGTTGGGGAACAGAGATGATTATATGATGTCATTGTCTTAGTTTATAAAAGTGGGATAAGTTAGCCATGGTACATTCCAGACTTATTTGTCATCTAAGTGAAGAAATTGTAGAAAAATCAAAGCAGCAGTCAAAGAAACTCCCTAGCAAAAACACAGTTCCCATTGAGCTATTGCGATGGAATTTTCTACGGTTTGCTGGAAATAGGTTGGGGAACAGAGATCTTCTATTTTTAAGTCGATACCCCAGGGGGATAATTAGTTATACCCCGGGGAAAATTGGTTATACCTTTATAAAGCTAAAGCATCTATGTACCTATTATGGCATCCCCATTGTTCTGATGAATTTAATAGTCATAAGAAGTGTTTTATTCGTCAAGCCTTGATGGAGAGAGTGTTTTGTCAGGGTGTGGATGAAAAGGAGAAGGGGTGTGGTTACGGAGGTTTGGATTTAAAAAAAAAAATTATAAACATTAACTACAACATTTTCAGAATTAAGCAAGTATTTACAAGTGAAATTATCAGGATTTATATTGTTGCAAGCTACATTGTAGCATCGGGAGGTGGTAACAAATCTGTTTCGAACTACCGGTTCCATCATGTATGTGTTTCATTATGTATGAAACACATACTCAACACCAAATTAAATTATTAAATTAAATTATATTA